GAGATTTAAAATATTATTTATGGTTCCTTTGTAAAAAGCTGGAATAAAGTTCAAGATGTGTGTATCAACAGATAAAGCTAAACCTTACATAGGAAAGATTTATCTTCAGATCACCCAAAACATATAATTATTTGCCGCACCAAGTTAAAACTATGGCACCATCTCGTGGCGAAGCGCGGTATTGCGTTAAGTATGCAGCATTTTGTGGGTCAGATATTATTGCGTCATTACTGTATCGCTGTACTCATTGGTCCATTGCATCTGTGGTAGGCCTATAGCAAGAACGAACTTTGACCGATAAATCTTATCTGTTCCGATTGGTTTGTCAGTAGAAGCTTATTCTTTGTATTGGTTAATCCGCTCACACCCACCGCGCGCGCACCAAATCCAACCAGAGCCCGCCTGTCCTCCCCCATCTCCCCTGTGTGTGGGTAGGTTATAATAGGCGCCCGCTCCACTTCTCCGCTCACCCTCAAGTTGCAAATATGTCCGTGTTCTGCGAAGTTCCTCAAGCAGTCCCTGTGGCTGTCTTCAAGCTAACACAGGATTTCAACAACGACCAGTTTCCCAAAAAGGTTAATCTTGGAGTGGGAGGTAGGTCTTCCTAATATAGATTCTGATGCTCTTTATGGCAATTTAAAAGCCCATTTCCAGCTATTCCATGGTTAATTACTGCGCGTCATTATTTGGATAATAATAGAGCTTAGACTTATGTTAGTCTTAAGTCTAAACTCTAGAGTTTAGACTTTCCCATAAGATTTTGCAATATAGACTATAATTTGCATAGTTTGCCCAAATAATGCGAATTTATCATAGAACGCCCCATTTATCAATACCTCTAATTTCCTCCAGATTGTCACATTGTGTCCGATAATGTATCAGTGCTGTGACGTAACCACCGTGAATAGTGATAGAAGCACAGCTCTGCTCTCTGAGCTTTCAACCACCGTTAGTAATCTCCCAATACCCGGCCTTTGATTGGATTAGCGCAAGATGACGACAAAGCTCGTGCATAGACTTAATACTTATGTAGCATGGATTCCTGCTTCAAAACATCTGATGCAATATTCATGCTATACTTTTTTCGTACAGCATTTCTCCTCTTGGCTATTAAGACCGCGTTTGTTAGTGGAGATAATCCTCCTCTCCACTGTAAAGGACACTACAGATGGACATCATCTGATAAATTAAGTAACAAAATTTCACCCAATGTAGAACTAATCTCATAATAGATAAAAAATGAAATAAGATGATGAAAAAGAGGTAGAGCGCTTTAAATATATTCAGTCGGAGTGCCTTGCCCACTTTTACATTTTACAGTAAGGGTAACTTTCTGTTTTAAGATCAAATACATTTGTCTTACAATATCCAGAGTATTGAACCCAATATAAAATCTGATAGTCTCCTATATTCTGCTGAGTGGAGTATTTTAATATCTAATCTGAGCCATACCAATAAAACTATGCAGTTTGTTGCTTTACTGTCTTTCTTTGTTCATGATAATATGATAAGTTTAATCAGTTTGTTGCAGCCTACAGGACAGATGAAGGCCTACCTTGGGTTTTGCCTGTAGTGAAGAAGGTGGAGAAACTCATTGTTGAAGATGACAAGTTAAATCACGAATATCTCCCAATTCTGGGTTTGCCTGAGTTCAGATCCTCTGCCTCCAAGATTGCCCTGGGAGATGACAGTCCTGCTATCAAGGACAACAGGGTCTGTGCGCTGAACATGTCCCACTTTCACTTTAGAGTTTAAAGGGGCAGAATTGTAGAATGACTGCTTCTTACAGGTGGGAGCTGTTCAGTGTCTGGGGGGCACAGGTGCACTGAAGATGGGAGCAGAGTTCCTGAGGCGCTTTTACAATGGAAATAACAACACCAAAACTCCTGTCTATGTGTCAGCACCCACATGGGGTAAGTTTTATCTGCTCATAATGCTGACATAATGTTCACATAATGTTGTATGGTGATAAAACATTTATGGCTATTTCAGAAAATCACAATGCTGTTTTCACAAATGCTGGATTTGAAGATGTCCGTCCATACAAGTACTGGGATGCTGAAAAGAGAGGTCTTGATTTAGCTGGCTTTCTTGGTGACCTGGAGGTAAGTAATGCATTTGTAATTTAACTAGTACGTTTTGTTCTTTTTAGTTTTTACATTATGCATTATATTTTTTTCTGACAGACTTGCCCAGAGTGCTCCATATTTGTTTTACATGCATGTGCCCATAACCCGACCGGCACAGACCCCACACAGGAACAATGGATGCAAATAGCTGAAGTAATGATGGTAATGTGTGCACATATTCACAGAGCACTCTCAGAATTGGTCACTGGCAACATGTGGTCAAAATGTAAACAACACATTTGTTTCTTTCCAGAGGAGGAGGCTGTTTGTGTTTTTTGACTCTGCATACCAGGGATTTGCTTCAGGAAGTTTGGACAAAGATGCCTGGGCTGTCCGATACTTTGTTTCACTAGGATTTGAGCTGTTTTGTGCTCAGTCGTTTTCTAAAAACTTTGGCCTTTACAGTGAGTGAAAGCAAATGTTTGAAACACACTTAACCTGAACCTTATACCACATTTAAATAACAACTGAACATACAATGTTTCTATCAGATGAGCGTGTGGGGAACTTGACTATTGTAGCCCGGGATGCAGATAATCTCATGAGAATTTTATCTCAGATGGAGAAGATTGTGAGGACGACTTGGTCCAACCCCCCTTCTCATGGAGCGCGCATTGTAGCTGTAACCCTTAACTCGCCTCAGCTCTTTCTCGAATGGTCTGTATCAGCACTACTGCGCTATTTAAAAATTATTGTTCATCTGTGTGTCCCACTCAAAACCTGTCTTTTAAAGGAAGGACAATATCAAGACTATGGCGGACAGGGTGCTCCTGATGAGGAGTCAGCTCAAAACCAAGCTCCAGGCTTTGGGAACACCGGGGACATGGGAGCACATCACACACCAGATTGGCATGTTCAGTTTTACCGGCCTCAACCGTAAGTAGCACACTAAACTCTGAATTAAAACTGGTTTCTGCATATAACATGTAACTGAATATGTACATCCTTGTCTTTTTAGCAAGACAAGTGGAGTACATGGTGCAGGAAAAACACATCTACCTAATGGCCAGCGGTCGAATCAACATGTGTGGACTGACAAGCAGAAACATTGACTATGTAGCACAGTCCATTCATGAAACGGTCACCAGAGTCCAGTAAATGCACTGTAACCCTTGGACTGGGAGTACTGTGTAGTCAGACTGCACCCATCTCTATTGGGTAATTTCATATTTATTTAGAATACTTAATACTTAATAGTCAAATATGATTTTGTCTTTTGATAATCTACCTCTGATCTATAATTTACTTTGTAACATAATGAAGAACAGTACTGCCTCATTGTCTAGTAAAGAAACATGACAAGTTAGAGTACTTTTTCACTAATACATAAATAATAATAATATTATTAATAATAAATTCCAGTTACCCAGCAACCATAATTGGCCAAAACCTGTCTATATTTCACAATAGTTGTGATAAGACACATAAAAATAGAACACCATTATTTTGTTAAATCAACGTTTAATATGCCAGACAAATGCCTTCTTTTTGCATAAATTGCATTTTGGACATAGGTAAAGGTATTCCTGCATTTTTATACTTTTCTTCACAACTTTTTTTCCCCACAAACTGCCACTTAACTGTAGTAAATCTATGAAACATATTTATCACAGGTACTATCCCACCAAACCAAGTAATAATTAGGAAAACATGAATACCTGCCATATGCATTTTAAACCAGTCAACAATTTGTTAATTAAATTTTTATGTACGACTAATCCTTGATTACTGGCCAAAGTTATGTTTGTGGGCCATTGATTTATTTAGTACAAATGCACTGAAAATGCAACTCTTTTTCCATTTCCCTATGTTTTAACTGCCTCAAACCAGTTTTCTTATCTCAATGCACAAATCAGTATATTTGAACAAAGGCCTGTATCAGATGTTTCAACTATACAGTCTTATTTGCTTAATAATTAATACTGTGAATAAAATGGTTGTATTGTTGTAACTGATATGCAATAACTACAACATAAGTGCATCGTATTCTCTCAATTTTGCTTTTCATCACTTGAAAAAATTGTAAAAAGTAAATGTATTTCATTTATATTGTGTGTTGTTAATTGTTCATTAAAATTTAATGATACTGATTTTTTTTAATCATATTTTGGTCAACAGTTACAATACCTATGAATTTCTTAATTTTTATTATGAATTTTGTATATTTATTTTTGTCCACTCAGAGCCAAAACTTGAACTCAGAATCTTTAATCAGGATATTGCCACAAACATGGTGATAATTACCCTTCAAATAATATGAAAAGTACTTTTTACATTTCATTGCAAAAATGTAGTGGAGTAGAAAGTACACATACCTGTTCTCAAATGTAGTGAAATAAAAGTAAAAGGTATCCACTGTAATATGTAATTAAGTAAAGTACACATACCTGAATATTTTACTTAAGTACAATACTTAAATAGTTATACTTCAGTACGTTCTACCACTGGATGAATGTCCCAGAATCAAAGAGTTTTTTAGCACATTGTGTATATAGCTGTAAACGGTGTCAGCGACCCAGCCTTGGCCTATCCTTTGCACTTTTCAGGTCATGAACCACTGTGTCCTCGGTGCCACTTGTGACCGTGTACCTTACCTCTGTTTGCACAACATTTAAAAGAAACCACATATGTTTTTAATAAATCTGTTTATTATTGCATTTTATCTACAACAATGGCTTAGCAGCAGTTCCCTTTTAAATAAATTAACTTGTGCACTCTGTAGAAACTCACTTAAACTCACTTATACACAGTAAACTGAATCTTTTTGGTTTCCTCATTTCTGTACTCCTCAGTGCTAAGATCTGACCTGACATTAACATATTTGATATAACACATAATGCAGAGTAGACAGAACTGCAGGCAGGTTCATCCTATATGCATGCAGCAGCTAAAACATGCATGTGGGTAAAGTAGGGGTCCACTACAGTGAAAGCAGCATACATAAACATGCAAATGAGTGTACAGTTTAAAGACTTCTTCCAGTGAGTTATTGTTGAGAGGTGCTTTTGTGACTGACCTTATATGAACCTGTACAAAAGAAACATGATACACAGCTCTGCTCCCGAGAACTAGATCTACCTCTGAAATAACAGGAAGCAGAGTTTTTGTGAGACCCAAAAGAGAGATTTAAATACACACCTGTGTTACACAAGGTTAGGGGCACTGAAAGGAACTTTTATCCATTCATGGTTGGCATGGTCGTTTATATTGCTACTCTTAGTCAAGTATTGTGAATCAGCGACATCTAAAAATGTTATATTTCTCTATCTCCACCTATTAAGAGCAAGATTTGTTATTAATCAGGCAGATATTATTCCATGGCTTTTCTTTTTTCTTTTTTTACACATAGTATAAAGGTGGGTTCGCTTATTGTGCTCAGTTGTGGTAGTAGTAGTGGCTTTTCCCTTTAGTGTACTGTTCTTAGTCGACAGTAGGTGGCACCATTGAGGTAAAATTAGTGCAAGTTCTTGTGCAAACTAGGCTTTCATTCATGAGAACAGCCACAAATATTAAGTTATAATTCATTATGCTATCACAGACTCAAACAAAATGGTATAGTTAAACTTGGTTGTAGGTGAATCTTTCCACCTTGATCATGTTGACACACATAATAAATACGATTCATTCACTAATTCATTAAGTTAAATATAGATTGTAGCATCATGCACAGCTGTAAAAATCAGCTAAATCTGATTATAACACAGAAGTTTTCATTTTGTATTTCAGATATGTGTCCCCCTTATTATTCTGGGCAGGCACAGGGAGGACAGTGTGAACCTGAGAATCAGTGTTGGCTACAGTCACAAGGAAGGCTGTCTCCTGTGAGGGCGGTCAGTGTGCTGGTAATGCAATGAAGACGATGAAACTGTGGTATCAAAGGAGAGCCTTGTGCTAGCTTATCACTGGTGATTCCTCTGATCCTTCCTCTAAACTCTTCTGTCGATCCAGAGACTTTTTTCTCCTCTTGTTGCCTAGAAACAGGGAAAATCTTGTTCAGTGAAAATATTTACGCTTTGTGTCTTACTGTGCATCTAGTATAACTTTTAAAACACCTGACTTTAACAATTGTTATATAAAACCACTAATTGCTGTGTGGTAGAATTTAAGCAATTAGGTAGATATGACTGGATATAGATAAAACTAATTAAATTACCTGCCAATAATGGACTAAATTATCGTTGATCTGTGGACCTTGCAATATGAGTTACCCATGATTCATTGCTAATAAAAATCTGCCTCTGGAGATATTGAAAGAGGAGGTTGCACAAAGGCACCTGTTGCTAGGATACACCCTACACTGCGGTAGTTTGACAGCAAAGTTTAGGCACATGTGATGATATGAGTCGTGTGGGTGTGTGGCCAGAGTTTTGGTCATGACAAATGGCTCACTCAGTTTACGCAGGAGCTTCTTTCCAATGGTTTCGTCTGAACTGGACAGAGACAGGGAGCTGATGAAGGGGGAGGTGGACGGGGGCGAGTCCGGCATGTCTGAAAGAAAGTTTGAACAATATACTGCGCTAACCAGGAATTTTAGTGTATATATACCAAAATACCATCCATTGATATTTCTTTCTGTATCTGATTATAAAGCCAGAAAGGTCTACTAACCGTTATCATAATTTTCGGGTCGGTCTTCGTGGATATAAGGAATCTCATCCATGCGAAGAAAGACACTGTCATTTGGACTCCTCTGACCATCAGATTTACTGCCTATGATGGAAAATAAAAAAATATGTGTTTACTCTTACAAATAGTATGAAATGAGCTATTGAATTTGAGAGAGTGTAGTTATGAAGATAATCACTTTCTGTACATCTCATTAGTATGTAAAGTCAAACTTTTTGATGACTATGACTACAAAACCATCTGTGCAGTGAATTTTCTTAATGACACAGACTGTGGTGTGTTACACACACAGTTAGACAGATGGGACGTGGGAAATCCTTTAAGCCTTCAAACCAGTCTACTTTGGCTGCCTGTGTTTGCACCAGTTCTCTGTGGTCAGATTTAGTCCAAGCTGGAGTCATTGCTCTTACTTTATTTTGGCAATAAATATAGTAATAATATGTCAGTTTGTTTTTTTTCTGTATTTTTGCGAAACTTCACAGATTGTCTGAATGGCCTTGAGGGCAAAACAAGCACGTCATTAGTGGATATGCCAGTTACTTAATAGTCCCTGGTAGTTTTAGTTTCAGACAGCACAGTCATCTGCTATATCTAGTATTTCTTTATTCTGCCTGACAGTGTATCTGACATTCTAAACATCAGTAGTTAACAGGGAATAATTTTGAGTGTTTGAGTATTTTACATATCTAATTTGAATTGTCCAGTGTTTTTTAAAGCAATCAGTATGTCCAACTTACGGACAATGCGGTTCCTCTCATTCAGGTGCGTTGTGCTGCGCAGTGCCCCGTGTGGATGGAGGTGGGCGAGGCGGGCCAGTCCCAGTCTTGTGTTGACGTGTGTCAGGGGCAGGGCGATGCTGTGGGACCGGGCCTCTGTAACAGGAGGGCGTCCTTTAACATCCACAGGATCTGGAGTCTGAGGAGAGCTGTCCATCCGAGTGGCAGTTATGGCGTTCTGATAGTGGTTCCTAGTGATCTGAAGATACAAATTACATTACAGCAAACAAATAATAATAATAATAATGTTATAATGTTATCAAACTACACTCTGTTATCTCACTGAATGTACATGAAACACATGTCTGTGTTCACTTAGAAAGGCAAATGTTGCAAAAAGGAACGGTTAGCTTTTTAGGCACTATTTACATTTTCTGGAGGATGTGCCACCTGCTTTTCTCCATGGAGATGTCATTGCTTTGTCTACTCTAGAATGTTCCACCGTAAGACATTAAACCTATTCCGTCAGTCTGCCCCAGGGCAGCTGTGGCTACAATAGTAGCTTGCCACGACTGAGACTGAATGTGGAGTAAATGAACAATGAACTGTAAATTGCTTTGGGTGTCTTGAAAGGTGCTATATGAATGCAATGATGAATGAATGAATGAATATATTTTGCATTTTTTCAATTGCAGATGTTATTACTGCGAGAACACATCCTATTGTAAGTCACTTTCGACAGATCTCAGCTGTAACTTGGTCTAGTGGCGTCACCTGCTTGCCTCCATGGAGATAGTAAAATTTTAATGCTGTGGAATATTTCTGGCAAAGCAATAACATATCCACAATAACTCTTCACCAAAAAATTACATATGCACCTCTTAAGTACAATTGTAGATACAGTTAAAATTTTCCATAGAACAAAATGTGTAACCTTGATAATCTGGAGGTCAGTGAGCTGTCGGACTGAGTAGTCGGGTAAGTAGATCCCAGAGGAGAGCTGCCCCATGCTGCCTCCACTCAGTAAAGAGTCAGACTGGTTCAGGCCACTGCTCCTGGAGCTGTACCTGACACCTGAAAAGAACAGCATTCATATTTAAACATAACTAAATAGGAAGTGGCATTTCTTTTATTACCTTCTCATTTAATTTTCATGTCATTTATTTTATTTTAGCAAGTTGTTACATAGTGTACCCTTTAAGGTTCTATATTACACAAAATTGATTCTTGTGTGCTTTGAGCCATGTTATAATGCTGTTATTAAAGGGCATAACACGGGCCCTTTAATAACTGTACCGTACACTACGTGCTTTAAGAGGTATCTCTACTTCATATTCTCTTTGTGACCTGGCTTAGTATAAACTCATAAATGCAATAAAAATAGGCCTATCACAGCTGATCCAGTGATAACCAGGTTTTGTTTTGCTCTACCAGTTTGTGCAATCAAATGGAACTCCCTAATGGTTTTCAGTTTACACAATTGCAATATGTCTTAATTATAATTGTGTACTTATAACGTTTTGTCCATAGACTGTATATATAAATGGACATAGCTGCCACATTCCAAATGTGAAGTGAGCATGGGGGTCCTTTCCGCTTCCATCGACTGTCTCTAACTGACTTTACATTGAAAAATTGTCACCCCTCTCTTTGTAACTGCTGCACTAAGCCTCTTGTCAGTTTGTAAGTCATTTTGATCTTAAAATGTTCATATTAACCTGCTTTATATCATTCTGATGTTTTTATTTTGCCATTTTGTCTGTAAATAAATTCCTATTCCTAATATGGAACTTGGCTCCAAATTCGCTCTTATAACTGCTAGCATCGTGAGCTTCATTTGACTGGAGTCGAACGCTTTGAGTGAAGTCACGCACTTAGTCCATTTCTTTATACAGTCCGTGGTTTTGTCCCATGGTTCAATGAGTTGTAGTTACTATATTAAGTGAGAGTGAAAGCATTCTCAGCATTGTACCATATATTTACAGCTGTGAGAATCTCTCTCTCTCTCTCTGAGGAGGCAGAAAGAGAGAGAGACACAGAGACAGAGAGACAGAGAGAGAGAGACAGAGACAGGAGGTAAGAGGAGGCAGAAAGAGAGCGAGAGAGAGGGAGGGAGAGAGGGAGTCTGTTTTGTGTATAAGTCTTTGCTGTATTTGATATAATCCTGAGCAGGTCATGTCCTTCCAGTGGGAAATACTCCACTTTAATTACTTACTTCCCCCAAATGCTGGTGCTCTGGCAGAATGAGGCTACCCAGACTCTTTGCAGTGCCGACTGTATGATTACCTGGTTTCTGTTGTCCTTTATAGTTTCTGTATTTCAGCAATTAACATTCATGTACCCCCTTCACCTTTTGAAATATTTCAGTTCTTTTGCACACTTACTAAAAGCCAGTGGGGGAATAAGTGCAGGCATCCCATAGTACGAAAATGCTCCGTTTTCAAAGCGCAGAGCCTCTTTTCCAATTTCTACTTCCACCCGTCCCTGTAACATCAATGCAGTCATTAGCATGCATGCCTAGTCACAACACCAAATTGATTAGTCATCTAACAAACTCCCACACAGAATCAGCGCACTCGAGAAATGACATTGTCTAGCAAAGCACATGAGTTATTACCACACTAATCCAATGTACATGTTATTGTGAATGTACAAGGCTGTTTACTTGGAGAACGAGGATGAAGTAGTCTACAGGCTTGTTTCTCTGGTAGAGGTAGTGGTGAGGGGCGTGCTTGTTCTTGGGGTCAAACTTGAGCTCCTGGACAACGCTGGGATGTTTCAGGAGGCGAAGTAAGATCTTCTCTGACAAGTGACACAGCCTAAAGGGCTCCACCTCTGAGTAATGCACACAGACAGAGAGCAGGGCAAGGGCAACGTGAAATGTCATGTTCAAGTCCACTTTGCCTATTCACACATAGCATTTATAAGGTTCTGTTTGCATTCTGAATGGGTAGCTGTGAAATACTGAGGTTTAAATGTCATAATTTAAAAATCTATGTTATAATCGTGTTTCCTCCTCAAAATTCATGCTTTAATTCATTCACACATGTTTGACACACAAACCCTGCATAATTAAGGTGAGTTCTTCTCTCTGACAGAAAACACTCTATCCCACCTTGTGATGTCATGTCGTAATACAGGATGTGCTCCACAGTGTTTTTAAACTCCATACACTTCACTAGAATCCTTTGCTTGATTTCAGCCTTTTTCTACTGACCTGTGGTAGCTTTATGACATCACAAGGTGTAACAGAGCATTTTTAGCTTTAGAGGTGTAGACAGACTAATCATGAAAGATTATTCAAACGTGTGAATAAAACAAAACACAACTCCAGGTATGTGTTTGTGAAGGTAACAAAATTATAACATGAAATAAAGCTTAAATTTTGCTTAGTATAGGACCTTTAAAGATTTAAAGGATTTAGAGGATTTTGCCCATATAAATCTAAAATCTTAATCTAAAAATATATTAATAACTCACTTCAGACAATGTCAGATAGATCCGTATGATTCTACGGGACAAAAGATCTAGAGGTCTATGGTGTTGCAGCATATTGTATATGGTTTCCCAATTCTGAACATTTTGATGAATGTCTCTCTCACACTTAACCTCCATTTCACTCTTAACTCTACCCTGTCCTATAAAGCCTTCTTGCTGTTGAAATCGGTGTGTTTGGGGTTATGTGTGTGAACTTTGGAGCGTGTGTTTACATGATAGTTTCCCCATCTCTGTGTCTTTGCTAAGAGAAATTAATAATTTTAAAATATAAAACTGTTGGACATGTTCATACAATTTTTAGTCATTAAAAGAGGCAACAATATGAGTAGCAAATGTATAAAAAGTACTATAATGGGATCAGCTTTAACAATGGCACAAAAATTGATTTTCTTGACAATATACTGTGCAAACAAACTGATTCATACCTGTGGCCAAGAAGCGATGTGTTGCAAGTAGGAGCTGAGGAGTGATCTTCACTTTCATTTCATTTTCTGACACTTTGAAAATTGAAAAATCCTGATGTTTTCTTTCATGGTTGGAGACTCTTCTTTTGGTTCTGTTATCAGCTGGGCAAAAGAAGAAATAATTTACAATTAAACAGATTAACCAAAAACTGATCATATGTAGATGCAGTTGGATTACAGTGGCAACGCTTGCTCCAAGAGGATGTAGAAAATATGCAAACCTCAAAGGGAGAAGTCAGAAAAAAGTGGAAAACTGAAAAATGTGCGATTGCTTATTCACTGTATTTGATGTAGCAAACAAGTTCATTTTTAGCACATGGTGACCTAGTTTAATAGTGTATTCAGCTATGGGCTATATGGAACTTTGGTTTTGGCTACAGCTGCATATTACAACTTACTGTTATGCACTGAAACATATTAACTCCATAACACGCAGAGGCAGAATTAATGGTCCCATGGGAATAGCATTATAAAAAGTGTACTTGCCTAGACATATGTGAACAGATATGAATGTGTAGCAGATAAACCCCGGCATACTATGATGGCAGTGCACGATATTAAAGTCAAGCACATGAAAAATGTAGTTTATATCTGCTGAGAGCCTGGGGTTTTGCAGAGTCGTGACAAATGTGCAGGGATTTGCTCTTTCAGTTCAACTTATATGAATGAAACACTGGGAAGATAACATTGCACTCTTTTATACAGCTTGTGATGCATTATAATGGGTTTTATTGTTTTAATACATGAACTCTCTAATATCTACCACATGTAGTTAAATTTTTTTAAGGTCATGGTTTAAGACTACTCACTGTTTGGGCAATAATGAGCGAGTATCAGTCATTTAAACATTGAGTATGTTAGGATGTATACTTACTGTATAGGTCAGTCTCGTCCACAATCTCAGACTTGATGATCTCCTCTATCACATCTTCCAGAGTGACAATGCCCATGACTTCATAGAATGGATCTCCTTCTCCCTCACTGTTGACCCTCTGGACCACAGCCAGGTGAGACTTCCCTACATTTTATAGAATGACAGACCATGTTATTAATATTTACAATATGCCTCAGTTTCTGTAAACATCTGCTGTTAAAACAGTGACGAGAGGCGAAAACCATACAAGCCAAATGCTTCCAGCTGGCCAACATGAGAAATGTTTTGGAAATAATAACTGGAGTTGATTTTTTGAAGGATTAAGCAAATACACTTTGACAGTTCAGATGACTTGGTCCTTATATAAACACTATGATTACACAATCAGTCTGGGGTTGCCTGCATCTGTTGGCTGCACTGGCCATGCTGCTGCCACCTACGAGCAAACACACAATCCAGTCTAATATAACACAACTATGGGAGTAAGACTCATGGAGAGCTGTGCTGTGTGTGACAGGCCCTACACTCCCAACAGCATTTCCACTCAATTGATAAAGCAAATGAGACAAGCTGTCTACACACGTATTCATACACTCGGAACATCCATCATACAAATACCAGCTCATCCAATGTTGAGTGTAAAATGAAATCTACAACAGCAATATACATTATCACAGGAGTTATGAGCTGATTTGGGAATTGAAGGATAAAGTGGATCACGCTGCTTAATCTACAGCAACAAAACAAACTGATTGCTGGGACAGCTTGGCACCTTGAAACCCAGGACTTTAAAGTGAATGTGATTGGCTGAGTTGGGGCTGTGCTTGAGGACTGGTTTGTTTGCCTGTCCAAAGAGGTAAGGTGAGTCAGCTCCAGATTTACCCCTCGGTGCTGATTTGACTGGGCACAAAATTACATCATTCATAGGTTACATAATCGTTGTGTAGAAAGGCACAGGCACACAGACTTGGCTCACACAGACACTTGCGCTGAAGGGGTAAGCTGTGTCTAGCACTGATGTCCATTTTGTAAATGTTTCTGCTCCATCAGTTTCCAAGGCTGCTGCAGACTCACTTTAATCTGCATGTGTTGTTTTGAATGGAAGTAATAAGAGTGAATAGGAATGTGCATTTGATGTCTGTGCCTCATCTGTGCTGTATGCCATTGCCGTATGCTTTATAAATGATTATTATCTCTTGTCCAAAAAATAAATAAATATAATAAAGGTGATAAATATAATAGAATTCTTATAATAACTGATAAAAATACAAGTGGCAGGAGTGTGTTTCTGCTGACATTTCCTTCTTCCTCCTGACCCTGAACTCACCCCTACCCTTCTGGCCTCAGTCAGAGTCTTCACAGTCAGACTTCCTGGACCACAGGAGCCTTTAATCCAGCAGAGCATTGCAGGAGGAAGGTGAGGAGGAAAGGGAAAGGTTGTAGTTGAATTTTTAATGGTCTCTGCAGGCTTTGTGGGCTACAACCTTCAGGGTGGCTTCAAAGTCTCAGCTGGATAACAATTAGATGCAGCCATTCACTCGAAAGGTGACACACAACTTAACCTTTAAACATAACCTAATAAAGGGCACCCAAATGCATCGTCATCATCATCATGATGTAAGATTATTCAACTCTTCTCCTCAGATAAAAAAATAAATAAATAAAAACTTTTCGTGAGTGTTAAACCTGATGATATGGCACCCACTATGCCCTTTATATGTCCTGTGTGAACAGCTGTGTCTCACTCTGACTTCAGTCCAACTCATCTTTGTCAATGAAACAGATTTACCTCCTAATCCCCACAACATGAGCCAATGTCAATGAAATGGTTACATAATCAGTTGGGTAGCCTCTCATATGTCTCCAGTTAAACATTGGGCAGTCTCCACTGTTCACTAAAAACATATATGTTTAAGTCTTTGTGGTCCTCAGTCAGTGGGGACATATTTAAAAAGCTAAGATGGTTATTATCATCAGTTTAAATCAAATTTATAATTATTGTATTGGCTGTAAATCATTACATATCTGATAGAAATAGATAACCATTTTGATCGAGGAGCCCCTAACCCTTGCTTTAACCTTACTTTGACACAACCACCTTTCACATATGGTTCTCAGCTCCTCTGGGGATCAAAGAGCTTTACTGTGAGCCACAGAATGTATACATCTACAGATGTCTGCACAGAATGGGTTTTAGTGAACATTACATCAAAGGATTCTGAACTCCGATGTGGCAGAGGAGCTGAGTTTATAAAAACAAAGCACATGATGATGGAATTTGTGAAAAGAAAACTTAAGACACACCTCCTGAATGCTATACACTCTTAACTGGATACGGTATAGGATGCCTTTACCTCTTTTAAACTCCTCCAGCATCACATCCAGCTTGGTGTCATTGAACACATAGTGCATGGGATGTTTGTAAAACTGAGTTATGGTTTTGAGAGGAGTGCAATCATCTGGATCCACAAAGGCGAGGTCTTTGACAAAGAGGATGTCTACAATGTTGGACCTTTCGTTTTCATACACAGGGATCCGCGTGAATCCACTCTGCATTATATCTGACATAGTGCAGAAATCCAGCACTGCATCTGAGGAAATCATGTAGCAGTCGGACAGGGGCGTCAGTACGTCCTCCACAGTCTTAGTCCTGAGCTCCAGTGCTCCTTGGATGATGTTGAGCTCCTCTTTGACCAAGTCGTGGTATGGATCAGTGACGCGCAGCATTGCCACCAGCTTCTCTCTGGTGTAGAAGCTGCTGATCTCCTGACGCAGCATGATGTCAAGGATTTTGGATACAGGATACGCGATGGGAAGGAACATCAACATGAGCAGGCGCGTGGCGCACAGGGTCTTGGAGGCAATGGCAAGACTGTGCCTGGACGCAACAGAGTGAGGTAAAATCTCCCCAATAAAAAATATGCCCAATGTACAAAACGCGGTTGAGAGCGCTGTCATGCCTAAGATTTGGCACATCCAAACAACAAAACATGTGTTGGTGAGCACGTTTCCTAGCACAACAGTGCACAAGATATAGTTCCCGTGTTTACGAACTGATTCAATCTTACGCGCATACTTCTGCTCCTTCTCGGTGCCGCTGTTCTGCAGCACGCGCAGCTCCACGGGATCCAGGGCCAGCATGCTGATGTTGAGCCCACTGCAGAGCGCTGACAGTCCCAGAAGGAGCACTGACACACCTGCCTGTAGCCACACATCTGCCTCATGCGGTCTCTCCACAACTGCCAGCCAGAAGTCCTGTGTACTCAGGTGCTCCCATCTGACCCCGTCATAAGCGCACATGGAGTAGTACTTCACCACTTCACCTCTGCGCAAGTCTTTGGCGAGAAGCTCCACCAGGACAGAGTTGTGACTCAGGGTGGATTTGAAGGTTCCCAGTAGCTCTATGTCCGAGCTGCGGGCGCTCTCATCCGAGCACGGATTTCCCTCGGAGTGCCTCTTCTCCGTTTTCCCGCCGTCCTCGACTGGTTCCTCAATGAACGCGATCCACGGAGCAGCTGGAGCACTGGAGTTCTCCCTGGGATGCTGCTCCGTGAGTGGAGATGCAGAGAAGTAAACCCTGAGCATGAAACGCGTCCCCTCCGTGGTTCTCAGCATCCCGTCCTTCAGTGACAGTTCTCCGCTCTGCGTGTCCTCTGGTCGGACGCCGAGCAGCGCTGCTGTCCGGGCTGGCATAGTGGACAGGGTTACAGTCAAGAGAAGAACATGAAGCCGGTGCGGATGCAGGATGCTGCAGAGAACATCCGCAGCATCCGCAGCCATCGTGCAGAGTAAACCAGTGAAGGACGTGGGGGTAGTGGTCACGTGGTGTGCAGACGGGGTGGATGGCGCGGCTTGGTGGCCATGTCCCTGAAGTAGATGATGTTCAGAGTAGAGAGAGGGGCACTGTTGGTGTGTGTTCGAGAGAGATTGATGGGTGAGGTGGGTAACGCTGTCCTTAAATAAGCGTGACACTATGACGTAGTCTTCGCATTTCGCTTTCAGTTTCTAAATATAGAAATCGGGACGTGTCTGTTCATTTTTATCTGGTTCTATAATGAGAATATACTTTTCTGCTAGCCGCGAGCAAAATATGCGTAGAATATTTTTTATTTATTATCAAAGTTTGTGTGTTTGAGCGTGTGCATAGATCTACATAATATAGCTATCTGTTTAGTGCACTGTTGATCCAGCAGATGGCAGCATTGGTGCCTTTTTCGAAACTAAATTCCCCACCGCACTCCACTGCTGGAGTCTTCCACCCGCATAACAAATAATGCAATTAGCCTATTCCATTTAAATTATTAATTAGGCATAAGGTTTAGGGCATTTCAAAATGACTAAAATTGTGTATATGCATTTGTAGCTTAGGCAAATGAATTCCTTTTAGTACGATATTTTAATATACTGGTCTGCCAAAACTGCGTTATTACACGTTTTTGATTTGTTACACATGGCCGACGGTAGAGCCTGCCCATTTACTTTTTTCACTAATGCGCCACGGATTTTTATGTATGTCTTTGAGAAAATGAAAGCATCTGACTAAGCAGTCTAAGAGATAGACTTTATAGGTCAGGGAGGTGGACGTGAGAAGTGTCCAGTCTTCAACACTTCTCTGTCTCTGCTCTCCATCAGCGGCACAAAGGCTCAGAACCAAGAGAGAAAGAAGCTTTCGTGAAATAAACACGTGTAAAGAAAAGTTGTGACTTTTTTTGTAATTCGGTGGATTTGAGTTTGCTTTTGTTCCTACCAACAGATAATGCTGTAGGCTCCTTCCGTTACCCTATTAATGCAGAAATAAAGCTTATGCGTTTCCAGTGTTTCATAGTAAGTTTATTGTAGCCTACTGATATATTATATTTAAATATATATATATTTTTTACTTGATAACAATGTGTGTTCAAACGAAGAGATGGAAATTGAGTAATAGGTATAACTTTTTACGCCTCACAAGAATTTCACTCTTTTGTTCAGCTGCAATATAGGCCTATTATATCTACTGAGGGTGAAGAATAATTCGGCTATCCTAAAAAAAATAAAAATAAAAATATTTTTTTAAATAGGAGTTTAAATTCAAAAGAATGAATACAGAATCATTTACAAATGTAAACCACATTTATTGTTCAAAATACAACATAAATACTGACATCTTGTTGCGAAACCTTTTTGCGTTCCATGCTTTGTGCTAATGCCAAACTCGCGTTATTTGTGTAATAGGTTTTGCTAAAACTGTACATCTGATTTTGATCTTACAACGAAATGTTTAGCTACATAATGCACATACGTTTTAACTGTATTACATTGTAAAAGTGACGCGTAAAAACTGAGCACCTCGAAGGGGTTTGTTCTTTGTTGTTTTACCGGTACATGGATCAGTAGAATAGGTTTTACCCAACTTATCGGGGTTAATATTATGTTTGTTGCTGCATAATATGTTTGTTGCTGCTTATTTGTGGAACGAAGTTCAAGTAACCTTAAACGACCACTTCAAACGGCATTGGACACCCGTCAACATCACTGCGCTGCGCTTTACGCAGCACTCACTGCACATCTGCACGGAACATTAAAGGTTAGTAGGTGAGGTAAGTACTCAAATTCAAATCACATATTGCCTACAGCTGAAAGTTCAACAAATTTTCTTCAAATTGTAATCAACCAATTTAAAACGACTGGGAAAATCGAAGACAGTCTGGGCCAAAATGTAGTTGTCACTAAGCATCCCTCTATAACGCATCGTTCATAGCTGTAATCTTTAGCCCATACCACCTGATCAATTGATTCAATAATCCGATATTGGATAAGAGTGTGGATACCTATAATTTTACTTTTGTTTTGATTTTATGAGTGTAATTTCCAGTCATCTTAACAAATGTAGGATAATCAATGTTAGCATACTAATGTAGAACCATTTAGATTATTATAGACCGGATTATATTATGTTAAATAAAGTTTAAATAAGCGGTCATTACACTTCCTGGGCTCATACCTCAGGAAACCTTGTTGGGCACAGCCTCCTCCCCACCTCCCAGCTGCTGGCGCTCGGAGAGAAGAGGCTGTCTCGGGGCGTGCGCTCTAAGCGCAGCTCTGCGGTGTAGTCGGGAGGGCGGGGGGCAGTGGGTGAGACTATAGACAGGAAGACGGATCCTGATCGATGTATCGGGTAGGTCTGGTCTCGAATCACTTCGTGGAGAAGTTTGTTATCTTTAAAACCTCGTTGCGCACGCCCTCCTGCACTCAAACTGTAAAGATGCCCAAAGCCAGAACGCACGCGTGCTCATCCCTGTGGATAGCATCTCTGGCTTCCTTAGTAGTGTCGTCAGTGCTGTCTTCATCATACTCACCCTCGGCATATCAGAGATCCACCATCAGCGTAAAAAGACCCAGCTTCATGGAGAGGACACTGGTTCTCCTGGACGTCAATACGCGAAGTCCCATCAGAGTGCTCAACGACAACTTCCTCTCACTACAGCTGGACCCCTCCATTATAAAAGACGGGTGGTTGGACTTTCTGAGGTACAGAAACACAGTTTTTCCATCTCATTTGTTCCGTTCACTGATTCTTCATGACATTATGAATGTAGCCACGTTACCCAAATTAAAACTGCAAACCGTGAAATGATAGGCCTAGAGTTATTAGTGATTGATCCTATTCATACGAGCCAAATTCCTATCACTTTTGATCTTGATCTCGCTTTTTGAGTGACCTTAAATGGCACAGTCTCTTCAGCAATATCCTCTCCAGAAAACATGGCATTTTGCGAAATGTTTTGTAAAAGTAAAACATTTAGTATGTTTGTTTAGTCAGCATCATTTTAGATATTTTAACTGTTCAAAATTATGCGCCAGCAAGAGTATATTCTTGAGTCAACATTTTTCAGAAGAATTGGCATAATAATATCTGAAGGGTGCAGAGCTTCTATTATTATTATATTATTATTATCTTAGTTTGCTCTACGTCAAAGCTTTAAGCAGTGTGTGCGTAAAACACGTAGACAACAGGCCCGAAAATCTTAAACATAACAAGTAATATTAAAATTGCACGTGTACATAATCAAATACATCTACTTATTTTATTTGTTTTTTAAATATCTGACATACATTGATTTAACGTGAAAGTGATAGGCTATTATGTTGACCCGTGGCCGTGGGTGTACACTTTTACGCATATCAGTAGAATTTTTAAATACAGTTAACGTTAACTGTATATACTACATTAGTTGTGACGTTAGAAGGACTGTTACGTTATACGCAACGTTTAAAAAATATCAGTAAAGCAACAAATGTAAAACTGATCCATAGTTAAGAAAAATAATACTCAGGTACGCATTTCTTGGTTCATACGGGAAGAGCGGTCACAGAATGTGATTTTACGTACAGCCAGGCCTATTATAGCCTTAAAACGATTTCATTGTCACATGGATCTTATTGTTTTCAACATCACCAGTAAATTTTTATTTTTATTTTATTTTATTAGATTTTTTTGTGAAATGAAACTAAGTAAATAGCAAAAGTGATCAGTATGGCTAATCCAGGATACTTTCTAAATAGAGTGTAGAGACAAAAACTGCGTGTCTTTCAAATGGGCACCTCTTCTCCTTTTCTGCAGCTCCAAGCGGCTTGTGACCCTGGCGCGCGGCCTGTCTCCAGCTTACCTGCGTTTTGGCGGCAAGAGAACCGACTTCTTACAGTTCAACAACCAGAAGAACCTGGCGAAGTTTAGAGGACCGGGTCCTGACTACTACCTGAAAAACTACGAGGATGGTAAATAGTTTTCAATTCCAAATAGCAACAACCACAAACATTTTGTTAAGAATTTATTTTACCAGAATTTAATTTACCAAAACAGGCCCGATCTGTGAACACAGCTAGCCGCAGCTAACGCCACTTTTACGCACTAAAGTTGGGCATACAGTTCTCTGTATGTATTGTGATTTGATGTTTTTTTTTTTTTCTAGATATTGTTCGCAGTGACATTGCCCTGGATAAACAGAATGGCTGTAAGGTGGCCAACCACCCGGACATAATGCTGGAGCTGCAAAGAGAGAAAGCTGCCAGCACACAGCTCGTGCTGCTGAAAGAGCAACTCTCCAACATCTACAGCAACATTACAATAACAGGTAGGAGATCACACGCACACAGTATTTTATATTATTTAGTTATTAGTCCATTTACAAAAGCCCCAGACCACAGTTTCTTTGGTGCTTAGTGTAAAATAGATCGCTCCACTCAGTGTACAGACATGCAAACACACACAAGTTCAAAGCATGCCAATGTAAACCATCAGCTTTCAGAATGACAAATGTAATTTGTAAAAGAGGAATGTGGAGATGGATAGAGGGGTGCTGCAGTCCAGACTGGTAAACAGAACATTGACATTTTCACTGGTTACAGTTAACTCACCCTGACCACAAAGAGAAGTCTGACTGATTTTGGGTGGCCTGTGTTTCTTATCTGTTTATGAGATGGATGTGTGGGAAATACTACACATGAAGAAGGTTAAGAATTGTCACTTGAAAAAAGATGCATTCAGAATGTGTTCATTAGCCAAATCAATCATTTAATAGCAATTGCAGCCTCTCAGGAACAATTTAGCAAACAGTTTTGGTTTTGTTCAACCAAAAACGAAACATCAGCTTCGAAATCCCTAAATCTCATCCCTGAACTCAACTTGGAGAAGGCATTAATAATATCAGACAGATCCAAGGCCACCTCATGTGAACCCATCTGGGATTAGTCATCATTTCAATAACTGCTGAATTTTCATCAGTTACCCTGCAATTTCACTGTGCTTTGAAAATCTGACATTCCAAGAACAAAATGACAGTGGTTATGAAGCAACATGAGGAAGCATCAGCTCTATATTGTGATACTGTCTCAAGTGCAGCCGTCAAAATAGTCCTCTTAGATTTGTCAAAAGGGCTCAGTTCACAAGTTCAGATTTGGAGTCAGCTCTAGAACAACAATATATTATTTATCCTGTCCTTCAAGTGTGCAAAAATGCACTTTAGCTATATACGCTTTCATGTAATAGAAACGCACAGAGGATTTTATATGTTGCAAACCGTCTCAACCCTCACACAAACCAGCAATATACATTGTCACTATACATACTTTAGAGAGCCACTGGTTGAAAACAAAATTGCAAAATAACTGTATGCTTTGTAGTTGTACTCATATTATATACAATGAAACATTTAAATCTATATTTTAACACAAATTCTAGTTCCTCACACCTAAGAAAGTGTGTCTTTTAAACATATTTGTATATTACAAAGCGTACTGCAGTGTTGTTTTTTAGCTCGTGCCAGTTGTCATAACTCCAAAGAATCCAAGTAAACCCATTTGTTAATTATTAAAGATTTCCCTAACAGACCTTATTATTGTAAGCACAAATAATGAACCAGTGAGATGTTTTTAAAAGTGACTAACAATAAATGCTGTCATCTTAGGAAGCATGCACATTTTAAAGATTTGCAGTAGACCTGTGGTTAGCATGCACATCATCAACAAGAAGGTTGGCAGTGGCAGGTCTTACATAAGCTAAGGCAGGTTCTGGGGAGGTTCTTTTTACAAAAAAATCTTTAAACATTATTAGTATGAGCTATTTGTGATGTTTTGTAAATAAATAAACAGGTAAATAACAGTTTGTATTATAACTGGTAAATAATTATTTTTGTCCCTTTGCAAAATAATACTCTGTAACTGCAAGAGAAGAAGTAGCACTAAAAGTTACATTGTCAATTACAGTAGAAGTACCGTTGTGATTGATGGGCAGTGATAGAAGCATTGTGATAGTTATTGCAGTGGCATGTACAGTAGTAACAGGATTGGAGGAGTAAATAGTATTAATATGTACAGTATTTCTTTATTTTGGTACATTTACCTTTTTCAGCGGCCACTTGGTCAGCGGTTCCTATCACTGCTTTAACTACCAAAAGTTTAGTGTGAATGTTGTGATAGCCCTGGCTTTAGACTGATCTGAACCCAGAGTATTTTGTGTAAACCAAAGCAGGCCTCTCGTGTCAGTGGTAGGGCAGGGCACATGGGCACTGGGGAGGTGTTTAAATATGGTCTGGGAACAATCAGCCCCATCCACAGTGTGTTTGTGTGCAGCTTTGACTGTGTGAGCGAGAGAGCGTCTTTTCCGTCCTTTTGCACTCACCACTGTCTGACCTCCGACCCCGCCTTGTTAGAGCTATCAATAATGGGGCCAGTCACACACAGGGAGAGACAGTGAGAACATAGCCTCATCCACGGTCATGGTCAGTCTCCGATCAAGTTTCCGTGGAGATGGAGGTCTGGTCTATAGCTCTTTATCAGTATTATCTTCTCTAATGTCTTTATTATTTTTAACATGGCGGAAATCGGTCTTTTCCTACAATCATTATGACGTGACTTCAGAAATTAGCCATCTAAATACTTGGTCTGGATCAACTAGCACCAAAGCAAACTTAAGCAAAAAACTTCAGTAATATTAAACACATTGTAAAGATAAAATGCCCACAAATGAGTCAGGCTGTATAAAATTGACACTTAAACAGTATATGTAATCTAGGTATTAGTTTGAGCATGCATCAACACTGAGAGCACACACCACATCAAAACTGGGATTAAGATGGAACTAAACCCACAAATAAACCCGGATTAAACTAGAACTGTCCATCACCCAAAGACCACCTGGTAATTACTATTTTTTGTGATGAAAATTCCATTAGGACTATGCTGTATAGAGTTCATAATTATAACATGGAAGTGTCAAAAAAGATAGCCGTTTACTACATCAGTGTTTTCTCCTCAGTTCTGAGTTTGAAGTATGCTAAAATATGGACTACTTGTGGTTGATGTTTTATTAACGATGGTGTTCTGATCCAAAAATAAATGCTGATGTTCCAGTGTGAACAAAACTCTGCAAAATAACTGCTGTAGTTCAGTTAAAAAAACACACTGAAATCTATTATTACAAATTACAAATATCAAATTAACTGCATGTGGCTAGTTGAGACAAAGTATGGTTTGCAGTAGGATAAGTGCAGTAGACTTTTATGTCTTTAGTCTGATCTCATATGCTGCGACTCCAGTGACTGTTTAGAGTGTGTAATGACTTGTTAGGTTTAAGTAAACATGTGTGAGAGACACAGACACTAATACCTGAGCGCTTTGTCTTTGAACTCAGTGAGGTGCAGCTCTCACAGCCAGATGCCTCTCACCGAGCGGACAGGCCTCCTACTCTCAAAGGAAACCTGAGAGCTCCCACAATACATGGGCAAGGAGAGGGTCTATACCGTTACTGCATTAAGCAAAATGTATGTCCAATAGGGAGAAACAATTTAGTAAAAATACATACCATTTATCAGTATTTTTTAGAGATTTAATATTTTAACCACACACTTACATAAGCATTGGCATTTTAAATATAATGTGTAAAATAATATATCTGTGCAAAAAATAACTGAAGGCCTGTCAGTCCTAATTATTACATAGGACCATTTAAGACACCAGTAGAGGGCGCAAGGATTCCACTTGATGGTCGCTGAAGGGAGGCGGAGACTAGTTTAAATAACCATAAAATTAATATATAATTGGTTTTCTTGGTCATTGGAGCAATGTAATGATCAGATGGAGTCAGGCTTCTTTAAAAACATGGAGGAGACGTGTATTACCACCAGATGATGTCAAGCTGAGAGCCAAGCTTTTTGAATGTTTGGGAGACAACCAAAATATTTGGGATTACTCAAGTATGGGCAAACAGACATGTTTTTGAAAAGGGAACAACATTATATCATTGTTTAAAACTCATAAGTATAATAGCAGCTTTAAGTGTTGTGTAAGTGGCGTCTTCTGTATTCCCACAGTAAAAAAAATACTTTAAATTGTGAATTCAGTTGGAGTCACATGGGGAGTTAGGGGTGCTGCGTCTCAGTGTTAGAGGTAGAGATTTATGAGTCTTTTTTGAGCCAATTTTTACACTGTTATCATCGTATCGTCAGCTGAAAAACCACCCTTTTGTTTTGTTGAAGTCCTTATTGATATTATGGGATTTATTTTTGGAATAAGTTCTTGTTGATATGATTTTATTATCTGTTCCAGATGTCGATCTAATTACAAAAGAACAAGTTTCAAGTTTTGTAATGGAACAAGAATGATTCCTCCTTTCTCAAACCAGAACCACTCAGAACTGAAGAAGCTACTTGGATGTCAAAACCTATTCACTGTTCTCTTGCAACACTTTCTGATAGCCTGAACGAAAGCCTTTTATTACCTCATAGAGTAAAATAGTTGAGTAAAATAGACTAATATTATAAAGTTTTGAGTTTTCAGCTGTGAACAGTGATGTCAGGAGTAAAGTCAACAGTCAGAGCTCAGCGTGACAAACTCTGCATTTCCACGTACTTTCTCTCTGACTCCTTCCACATGTCCGCACAGACCACAAGTGTATGTTGTCCTTGATCGGCGGGATACCTCTGCTGTTTAAAGAACGCATGGATGTGTAATTCCATGTGTTTGCAATATGCCCTGAGACAAGTGCCAGCAACCTGCGAATGAATGTCATTTTAATAGCCTCACGCATGGGAAATGTTTGAAAGCAGCCCTTCCTCTCCTGTGATTGTTTGGCATGACATCCAACCTCCATGTTTTCCTAAGAACTCGGCGAGCCATACGTTTTGTTTCAGATTTCAGTGCACTGGTACAGAGCACTTGCACTGCACTGGCAGTACTAAGCGCAAGTAACATTGGCAGGACCAGTGTTAAAACAGTGCTATTTTTATGTATCTTTTTATTGTGGGTGTATATCTACGCGTTTATGCATGCGTGTGTGTGTATGTGTGTGAGTGCATTTGCATCTGTATCTGTATATGTATATGTGTGTATGTGTGTGTGTGTATGTGTATGAAGGATGCATTATAAATCCAGATGATTCTTTATGCTTCAGGCAAAACAGTCTTTGTTCATTTTCAGCCAGACACTTTCTTTCCCAGTTTAAATTGTCATCTGACTCCAATTACTTTGTGTGCAAGTAATTTGATGTATTTTAGATATGAGAATTCTGAACATGAGTTGAATGGATATTTCACATTACATTTTACATTAGATATTTGTGCAAAACTTTATCAACAAA